TTGTAGAGATGAGGTCTCGCCAAGTTGCCCAGGCGAGTCTCGAACCCGCGGGCTCAGGCAGTGCACTCACGCAAGTACATGTTTTTAATGCTGCCTGTCTTCTATACTGTTTCTATTAAAAGTTTGCTATTAAAATATATTAAACAGTATGGGCTCGGTGGCTCAGCCTGTAATCCCAGCACTTTGGGAGGCTGAGGCGAGCCTGTGGGTTCGAGACCCACCAGGGCAACTTGGTGAGCCCTCGTCACTACAGTAAATCAAAAATTAGCTGGGCGTGGTAGCGCATGCCTATAGTTCCGGCTACTTGGGAGGCTAAGGCGGAAGGATCGCCAGAGCCCAGCAGGTCAAGGCTGCGGTCACCGGAAGTGTGCCACTGCACTCCAGTCTGGGCAACAGAGTGAGACTCCAACTCAAAAAAAAACACACACACACATATTAAACTATTTTTAAAAACTGACAAGACTATTCCATTGAAAAATAATTTGGCTGGGCGCGGTGGCTCACACCTACAATCCCAGCACTTTGAGAAGCTGAGATGAATGGATTACCTGAGCCTGCGGGTTCGAGACCAGCCCTGGCAACTTGACGAGACTTCAATAAATCAAAAATTAGCCGGGTGTGGTACCTGGAAGGCTGAGGCAGAACGCTCGCCAGAGCCCAGCAGGCCGACACTGGGCTGGCCGTGAGCATGCCACTGCACTCCAGCCTGCACAACAGAGTGAGACTCCGACTCAAAAACAAAACAAAACAACATAATAATTTACATCAGGACTGTGAACCAATTTAAAGCAATTTAAGAGTTAACATTATCAGGCAAGTCTAGGATAAGCAGTTCTTGAAGTACAGTCTACTGACTCCGGGGACTTCCTGGGTCAAAACTATTTTCTTTATAATTCTAAGATGTTATTTGTCTTTTTCATGGTATTGGCACCGCCAGTACAAAAACAATAGTAAGCTGATGGGTTCTTGGCACAAATCAAGACAGTGGCAACCAATGTGTACTAACAGTCATTGTATTCTCTAAGTGTCAAGTACTCTCAGAAACAATAAAAAAAGGGATATTTCACTTATGAATGCCTTTCAGGAAGCCGTGAAAATATTAATTTTATTAGCTATCAACCACAAACGGATACCTTTTGAACAGTCTACATGATAAATGGGAAGTATGCTTAAAGCACTTCTGTGGCATTCCAAAGTACAAAGGCTGTCTCAAGGAAAAGTACTTGTGCAACTTTCTGAATTGCAAGATGAACTAGTTGCCTTTTTCTTAGAATGTCAACTTCACTTGAATGACTGAGAAACATGGAGTGCTGAGGCAGAAGGATCACCTGAGCCCAGCAAGTCGAGACTGTAGTGGCTATGAGTGTGCCATTGCACTCCAGCCTGGGCAACAGAGTGAGACTCTGACACACACACACACACACACACACACACACACACACACACAAATGAAAGAACGACTGCAAAACAAACTATGGTTAATAAAAGCCTTAGATATTTAATAGGCATTTTCTCATGAATGAATGAAGTTAAGTCTGTCACTTCAAAGGAAACGATGAACTGTATTTGTCAATGATAAAATTCAAATTTTGAAACAACAATCATAATTTTGAAAACTGGCAAACAACACTACGAATTTGAAGCTTCCTAATACACTTTTTTGTGCATAAGTATTGTGCATAAGTCAGTAAACTAGCATATTTCAAATGAATGCCAATGCCTGAGTAAAATATTTGTTTATTGGTATTTATTTTATGTTTTTTAGAGCCAAGGGTGCTCTGTCACCCAGGCTGGAGTACAGTGGCACAATCACAGCTTCTAATTCTTCGGCTCAAGTGATCCTCTTGCCTTAACCTCCAGAGTAGCTAGGACTATAAACACACATCAACCATATCCAGCTAATTTTAAAAAATTTTTGTAAAGGCCAGGCATTGTAGCTCGCAAGTAATCCTAGCAACTTTGGGAGGTTGAGGCGAGAAGACTTAGCCGGTTGTGGTGGCATGCACCAGTAGTCCTAGGTACTTGGAAGGCTGAGGCAGAAGAATCACCTGAGTCCAGCAGGTCCAGGCTACAGTAACTGTGAGCGTGCCACTGCACTACAGCTTGGGCAACAGAGTACGACTCTGATTTAAAAAAAAAAAAAAACTTTTTTGTAGAGACAGGGTCTCACTATGTTGCCAAGGTTGGTTACAAATTTCTGGCCTTAAACGGTCCTCCTGCTTTGGCCTCCCAAAGTGCTGGGATTACAAGCATGAACCACTGCACCTGGCAAAAGATCTATTCAAAGTGTAACACACATGTCCTGTGGATTTTAATTTAACAGAGTATGAAAAAGTCATTGATAAGGTTGTCAGATTCCATATTGCAACTAATCCTTCAGAAACTACCAATTATAAAGTTGTAGTATCAAAGAATATCCATAACTATTCGCAAAAGTTCATACTAAAATATTGCTCCCCATTCCTAGCATATGTATCTGTGCTTTCTTCATATGTTTCAACCAGGCCAACAAATGGAAACAGATTGGATGTAGGAGCAGACGTAGGTCAAACATTAAAGATATTTGTAAAAAATATAGACTATTCTTCATACTCTTATGTTTGGAAATACTTTTTCAAAAAATATAATTTAGTTAACTTATAATTGACTTATTATTTTTGAATGAATAATTTAAAAATCAACTCAAAATGGTCAAGGACCTAAATGTAAAACCTTGAACTGTAAGAATCCTAGAAGAAAATGTAGGAAACACCCTATGGACATCAGAGTAGGCAGTAAATTCTCAACCAAGTTCCCAAAAGTGAATGCCATAACAGCTAAGATAGACAAGTGGGATATCATCAAAATGAAAAGCTTCTGCACAGCAAAAGAAACCATTAAGAGAGAGGGGAAACAGCCCACAGAATGGGAAAAAATATCTGCAAATTATGTATCTGGCAAAGGCCTAACATCCAGGATCTACAAGGAACTCAAAGTGAAAGGAAAAAAACCAAACAGCACCATTAAAAAATGGGCAAAGGACATGAACAGACATTTCTCACAAGATTACATATAAGCAGCCAATAGAAATTAAAAATGCTTAGCCTCACTAATCAAAGAAATGCAAATCAAAACTACAATGAGATACCACCTAACTCCAGTAAGGATGGCTGTCATTAATAAGTCCAAAAAAAAAAAAAAAATAGGTGCTGGTGCAGGTGTGGAGAAAAGGGAACACTTCTACACTGTTGGTGAGATGCAAGTTAGTTCAACCTCTATGGAAAGCAACGTGATGATTCCTAAAAGAACTAAAAATTGATCTTCCATACGATCCAGCAATCCCTCTCCTGGAAATATACCCAGAGGAACATAAATCGCTCTACCAAAAAGACCCTGCA